TTTTTTTTTATCACATACAAGGGCTTGTGAGACGGGACCTCCATTTATCGTCCCTATCCGAGAAGACTAGAAAGTCTAACCATTTGCAGATATTATTACAAAGGCAGCACTTTCTTCTCAGTTAATTAAAGACCCTGAGTGTTGGTCTGGCCAGATTTGAACTCACGACCTCCCGCACAACAGTCCAGCGCTCTACCAATTGAGCTAACCGGGAGGCGCAGAATCATAGGTATCTTTCTCTCATTCATATCAACAGTCTTAAAATAGTTAAATGCATGCAGGTGCACCATAAAAATGGGTGGATAAACTGCAAACTTTTTCCTAAAATTTTTGGAACAAATCAGTGCAAATGTATGAGAACATCTCAAAGGGGTGCTGCATATATATTTTGTATAATTTAACATTGCTCATAAAATGATATACCAAACCATTGCTAAAGCATGTCTGGGGACCCTAAAAGAGCCACTTTTGTTCATAGGTGCAAGCTATTTTTCTTGCTGTTGATTGGCCTTAAAGAAGGTTGTCTCCTTGTACTATAATGAAAATTAATGTTTCAAAAGCTATTTGTATTCAGTTGCCCTTCTCCTCGTCAAATGCCTGGCTACTAAGCTTCCACCAACTCAACAAACACACAAAAGATTTTCTGTAGTTTTAGGCAAAATGCTGTTGAAAATCTGACTGGAAAAAAAAAAATACTGGCTGATCAAAACCAAAGAAAATTCAAACATCAGTAGGGTGTGACACTAACAGTAGCCAACTAGCCACAGACTAGTAGAAATTCAGGTTTGGCCAGTGGTTTTTGATTCCACCAGCCAGTTTGGCTAGTAAACAAAATCAAATTGTTGTAACATCTAAAGTGTCACTAACCACTTGGCTAATAGGCTGAAAAGTTAGTGTTGAGCCCTGATCAGTACTCAAAAGTAAGTTGACAGGTTACAGACCCTCAAAACTTGATCCTCATTTCTCAATCCTCGATTCTCTGGAGTTTTGAAGTAAGCTCTGATCACTTATTCCTACAGTTGACATTTCTGACACATTGATTTCATAACAAACCATTCAATAATGAAATACAAAGCATTTTTTTACCATAGATGTCACTGGGAAAAGAGCTCTATGATAGCTAACTACTTCAATGTTTCAAGCTACAAAAGCACAAAATAAATGTTTTCACTACCTCCTTTACTTTCAAATATTTTCAACGATATATTTCTAATTTTCAGAATGCATTGCAACTAAATGTGAGTAAATATATATATATCATGTATTTGAATTAATCGCGTCATGAGAGATTGCAAGTAGTGACATAAATTCCCACATCATGTTGTGTTTCCATGGTGAATGATAAATTTGGTAATTATGACCATCAGTGTATTGTGCTATCTTTTATTTTACTGCAGAAGACATATATCACTTGAAGTGCACTAAAACTATATATGGCAGGCAATATTTACAGAAAAAGAGTCACAGTAGTCATTTACATTACAAAGATGTCAAAAAGATTTTAAGCAACTGGTTTGTGATAAAAAGTATGTGGTGCAATGTCATGTAATGTCCTACTGAAAATTGACCTACAAGCATTCAGAATGGTAGGCACTTTTCTTTTTCCAGAGTAAACAGAGAAAAGTGCTAGTTAATTGATGGCTTATTTTGACAACCCTGACATTTCATGTTGTATTTAGTTAAGTTAAAATCAAGAGTGTTGTTACCTGCTTTGTCTAACAGACCTGGACCACCAAGTGGTTTACATGTCCATGCTCCTGTCATTCTATCAAGCATTCTCCTTCCACTGACAAGTTCATTAAGGGGCTCACAAATCCTCCAACAGCGCCTTTCTTTGCTCTCTTCAAACAACTGCCTCCCTAATTCAGCTTGAGGATCTTGATAATTCACTTTGCAGAGCTTCTGCTTCTCTTCAACTTCCGTCATTTCTTCTTTTAGGTCATGGCACTGATTCTGGTAGCATGTAATTTCATCTTGCAATTTACAGCTAAGGTTGCTATTGGTAATGGTGCTTTTGCCATTCTCTTTTTCAGCTATAACAAATGATTTTAAGATCTTCTGCAGGCTATGTTGAATTAAAGTCAAACCTGTAGAACAGAGAAATCAAAATGTCTTTTTCCCTCCACACAAATCACAAAATTCAACACCTTTCCAAAATCCCTCTAACATGTGAAGACAAGAGCTTGAGATGACCTGATAACCTGCAAGAAAATGCCTAACCAAGATTTTATAGCACGAAATAAAAAAGGCAAGTGTCTTAATTAATCACTTTCATCATGATTGCAATGCTAAAATAAGACTATAAGACAAAAAAAAAACTTTTGAACAGGTCACAAGAACAATAGACAAAGGTGTGGGAGTGGCACACAACAGAGGGAGGCTCCAAATTAAGTGTGCCTTAAAGAAAAATACACAAATACACACTCAATACTGTACTTGGAGAAGAAGTTGCCATGGTAACATCTTTAATCTTAAAACTGACACCAAGAACAGAAGCCTTGTTGCAAAGTTAGCTGAACTGGTAGATCTCTGGATAGAAAACTTTGAGATAAATTAACTCTGTTTCCCTTTATAACTTACACTCTAAAGGGTGAAGGAGGGTTTCTCAGGAGAGCCCCTAAGTTATTTGTTCAGTCAAGTAGATCTTGACAAAAACATCAAACAGTACCAATAAATATCAAAATGAAGAACACCAAACACTATGTTACATGATTATGTTAGATGAATCATCACCAACCTCCTTTCTCCATGATTTGACTGTAGTCAAGTCCAACCCATTCTGTAATCTCCTGGACAATCTCTTTTAATTTTTTATTCTCATCCTTTAGTCTCTGCTTCATGTCCATAACTGTGCTAACATTGTGCACTGCTGTTAGCTTTCCTTGTTCTTCAGAGGACTCCTTTCTACCTGCACTTACACAATGTCTTCCCTCCTTATCAACACTGGACATCATCTAAGGAATCAGTGACATCAATAGACATAATTATTGTCATATTTTTTTTTACATTTCACATTGCACATGTACAATCCTAGTTCAATGTAATTTTCAAAGATCCTGAAACTATTAAACTATATCTTATAAGTGACACATTCCTTGGACCTGGTGATGAGCTGATCTATTTAAAGCTTCCACATCCTCCCTTCCCCCACCCTGTGAGACCCAAAGGTATTTGACTATCATTCCCACCCTGGGGTGAGGAATTTGAACCTTGCCTGTGTGAGGAAGGGCATTTAACCAAAAGTGTTACGGCTTTCCACCTTAAAACATGTTTTAACCCCTTCAGTCCCTTAATGACATACTGAGTATGATTATTGGTCTAGGACTTCACATGCCTACTTGACATAATGAGTATGTCCACATTTCAAAAGCTACAGTAAAATTGTTGGCACACCAAATGTTGTCTTGCCTATTTCCTGAGTAATTCTTAGATGAAATTGAAAAATTTTGAACAAATGTCTGTGAGGGGCAAAGATTTACTGCCCAAGAAGCACAATTAGGTGCTATTCTGAATGATTCTAGAAATGAAAAAGAGTTGATTGATTGTCCTTCATCTCATTACAAAAATAATGATTTCACAAGCTAAAATAAAGGTTATTTTAATTGTAGTTTCAGAAAATTGCATTTGCTCATGTTATGGTCAATTTTATAGCTTTAGAGTTATTTACCTTTGTTTGGTGGCAACTCAGTGCATCTAGAAAAAGAGAAATTATGCTTGGCATAATGGAGTTTTACAGAAGTTGCAGGCAGTGAAGGGGTTGATGGAGTAGTTTAAAGGTGAAGAGTCTATTTTCATGAACAAATGGCTTAGAGAGACAATTTCACACAGTTCAATGACACTTACAAACCAGAAGCCTGACAGCAGTACCAACATGTGATTTTGATAATTTTTTTTACAACATTAGTTGATCACACAAAGAATATTTGAATATTGGCTGGGGCATTTGGATGCACTTTAGCTCCATCAGCCAATCTCCAAAGGGTCAAATGCCCAAAGGATCACCCTAAAAGCTTCAAATTGATTGATGCATATAAACTGTCTGGGAGCTCTAACAGAAAATTCTAATTACATTTCCTTGATGGCATTTTTTATCCTTAACCCATTAATAGCTGCAGCTTTTGTGAAAAACTGTGTTTTGAGGCTAGTCGAGCAGATTTCGGGTCACTGTTGTGGTTTTAAAAGCTCAAACTCACCACAAACTCATTGACAGCTTGTACACTCAACGGCCTTTCGATCCAAAAGCAAAATGGCGGCCTGAAAATCTCAGGCACGCACAGAAAGCAAAATTTTGAGATAGTTTTTGGGTTGAGGAGTAATGCCCCACTTGCGACGTTTACTTTTCTCTCTTTCTCCTGCCCTTTTTTTCCCCTCTCCTTGCCTGAAGTTTCTCCTCACTTGCTGGAAATTTAGTAGGCTTCATTTTGGTGTAGAGATTTTTTTGGAAACTACTCATTATTTTCAAACCACATGCTCAGAAAGGTAGGTGGGTAATGGAACAAGATTTTCGTGTAGATTTTCAGGTCAAAGTTACATGGTTTTTTGGCTATTTCTTCAATCTCCTTCACTCAAATGTGCTCATTCTGGTATCGTTTGTAAGATATTTTCAACCTGTTCAAGTACGTGCTCAAAGTCGTGCTTCAGGGTTAAAAGTGATGACGTCACAAGGCGTAGAAAGGGTGTGGGTCAACGTGGGCACATAAGGGCGCACTGGAAGTCAATAGGTTAAATATGAAACCCAGAAAGTCATAAAGAACAAAACTAATTTGCTAATATCAATACTGATCTGTTTGGGGAAAGAGCCAGATAACTAAACTGAGAGAAGTAACAATCTTCGATGTGACTGGTCATATATTTCAGGTGTGCACAGGAATACAATAGCACCATTATTCCTACTCAAAAATGACTTTATGGAGATGATAAACTACAAAGTTCATTTACAAAATATCAAAATACATTTCTTAGGACTCTGTCTTTAGCTCGTCCAATATTATTAGGAAAAATGCTATATCAATACATCCCTAATCTCTCATGATCTAGTGTTATTCTTTCTGTTACCAGTCCCCCATAAAACCACAATAAAGACCAATAAAGCAAATAGCAATCCAAGACATGTATTTCTTTCTTCAACAAACTCATACATCGATTTTACTACTGTCCCAGATGTGACTTCCTCACATGTTCATGTTACGCATTCCGTTATGATCATTTCCAGTAAAGTTTATCGCTTGTTTCCACTTGTTCACGCCCTGACGCATATACATTGAAAACTGACATACTGCTCTGCTTCAATATCAAATATTTTAATATCTGCTTTTTTTTTTGCATCAATCTCTTTACTTTTGATTTTAAATTAGGTCATTTGTTATGATTGAAATCAGTTGATATGGGTACTCTTTAGTAGATCAAAGCATTCCAACAGCGGGTTGTCAAAGTCTGGGAAAGATTTTCATATAATCCCATACTAATCAAAAACAAAGCTGTAATCCTGAAGGTAGTCTGTTTTTTTGCCTCTGCTTTTTTTTTTATCCAAGAATTGTATGCATAATGAATTATCTGGTTACACGAAAATCTTGCCAAAGTCTGATTTCAGGTAAGCACAGCACTTGTGGAACACTTAATGAAAGATATTTAGATCCTCATCAGTGGATCTTAGATCTTGAATTTTAAGAGTAATGATAATCGACATACTTTTTTTGGCAGTTGAGATGATAATTCCATCCAAGTCTCGGTGGTAAAGTTAAATCTGTATGAATGAACGGATGATTAGAAATAATATTACACCGAAGTTCACACTTTCGCCAGAACAAAGTCATGAATTACCGTTTTCGGTACTGTTTATAAATGAAATAAACGTGTGTTTAAACAATCGTAATTCTTGTTTCGATTACAAAACCCGGAAAGATTTCCATATAACCTAATAGGTGGTTTGCAACCAATCTCTAGCGACACAGGTAACGATAGTGAAAGGAACAAATGCTGGTGGACGAACAAAAGGAGCTAATCAGAAATCTATCGTTTACCTCCACCAACATGGCGGCAATGACGTAAGTGCAAACCACCTACATTAATTATGCATTCCATTTCATAAAGACTAAATCTAAAGGTTTGTTTGCAACACTTTAAGTATATTTAATGTATGGGGTTAAATGGAAATCTTGCCCAAAACCGTTAATGCCGCGACTAAAAACAATACTTAATCTTCATTTCACCATCAAATATCGTTACCACGATATGGAACTAAAACCCAAAACAATACGGCTTCTTCACCTACCTCACTTGCTCATATTCGACCTTGTCATCCTTGATGGTACTTTCAATTCATGAAACTGCTAATGAAGTACATACCATTAACATACATTATATTACTCTGACCTGTTTGAACGATGACGGATTAAATTCTGGGCAAGATCTGAGTCCTTGCACCCGTCAGAAGCGACACCACGGAAATATGTTTTGGTGACGTCACAGTGGTCAGTGGTCATCAACTTTAGGCTGCCAAGCGCTTTCATGTGTTTGCAGACTGAGTTCCATGAAAACATCGGCCTTTTGCGTGGTTTTAAGGTTGAAAATACCCATGATACTTCTTCTTGTTCATATATTTGATCCTTTGAATGGGTTTTTACTACTAAAACCACGTCTTAACAAATAGCGGTACAGGGGAGTCATTTTGTTT